GCAGAGTCCATTCCCCAAGTTTCTTCCTTCTCTCCTCACATGCCTTGTCCCCATCTGCTTGACTGGATCACAGACAATTTCTGAATAGAATGCTCATGTTGACTTGCTGCACTCTGGTGAGTTTATTAAAGTATGTATCACAAACGCTGTGAAATTCACTCTGGCAACGACCACTGACATGAAATACCTATGGTTCTGGGTATAATCCTCCCTCTGAGGAATAGGATCTCTGACTTCAAGTGCCAGAAATTTGTTATTGGCCTGGACAACAGAAGAATATGGGGAAAATTCCCAAATATTTGGAAACTAAGTAATATATTTCTAAATAATCCATGGGTCAAAAAAGAAATCAAAAGGAAATTAGGTAGTATTTCTGAATTGAATTAAAATGAAAACCAAATGTATCAAAATTTGTGGGATGCCACTAAAGCAATTTTCAGGGGGAAATTTATAGCACCAAATGCATATAAGAAGCAGGGGTGGGGAAGAGCAGCAGGGCAGGATGAAAAGGGGCACATAGAATATTTTGGAGATGATGAATATGTTCACTATCTTACTGTGGTGATGATCTGATCTCTCAAATATACATAGATATGTTAAAATTTATCAAATAATATACTTCAAGTATGTGCTATTTGTTGTTTATCAGTACACCTCAGTAAAACTGTTTTAAACAGACATGTGGGGAGGGCGCCTGGGTGGCTCAATCAGTTAAGCATCCAGCTCTTGATTTCAGCTCAGGTCATGATCTCGGGGTCAGGAGACTGAGCCCTGCGTTGGACTCTGAGCTTGGTGTGGCGTCTGCTTGAGATTCTTTCTCTCCTTCTCCCTCTGCCCCTCCCCTGGCTCACTCTCTCGCTCGCTCTCACTCTAATAAATCAAATCTTAAAAAACAACATGTGGGTAGTGGCTACACTCTCAGAAGCAGATCAAAAGCAGCCACGACAAGAAAACCAAAAGAATAGATAATCAACAAGCTAGGAAAGGGTAAGGTAGACTTTTTAAAATTACTTAAATTACCTAAGTAGAGAAAATTGAACTGGTGCCACAAATAGAAAACAACTAGAAAAACAGCAGCTTTAAACCCAATTATATCAATAATTACATTAAATGAAAATGAACTAAATATTTTAACTTTAAGAAGAAACCAGACTGAGGGCGCCTGGGTGGCTCAGTTGGTTAAGCGACTGCCTTCAGCTTGGGTCATGATCCTGGAGTCCCTGGATCGAGTCCCGCATCTGGCTCCCTGCTCGGCAGGGAGTCTGCT